ACGTCCGAGCGTTGCAAAGTCCCCCAGCTCTCCTCTGCCCCCCCCCCCCCCCTCCTCGCCCTCCCGCTCCACAGCTCGGCCTTGGAGACGAAGGCGGAGGGATTCCGCACGTCCGGCTTCAGCACGAGGTCTTGCACGATCTCCATGGCCCTAGCGGGCTCCACGGAGGAGAGCATCTGCAGCGCCGCGGAGTCCAGCATCAGGTGGGGATGCCTCGCCAGCGGGCGGCCGAGGAGGACGACGAGGACGAGGACCAGAAGGGAAGGGGGGGAAGGAGAGGCAGTAAAGGGGGAAGGTGTTTGGGAGGGGAGGAGGGGGGAGGGGGGGGGGGGGGAACGACGGATAGGGAGAGGCGAATGGAACGGAGGGGAAAGAGGAGGAGGGCCAGTGTAAACCCAAGACGCATCAACGATGTTGCAACAGAGCCCCCCCCCGAGTTTCCTCCTCAAAAGTCCCTGCAGGAATGTTCACTGCGGGCAATGGCCCATTAGAAGACAACCGTCTGACAATCCTTTGCCATGCGAACACACCATTTCTGGACTTCAGCGCCGCGGACCAACGTCAATGTTGCGTCCTGGCAATCCCACATCGCGCCAGAACGCCATTCCTGGGACTTCAACACAACGAATCAACTTGTGACTTGTACGCCCTGGCAACTCAAAATCGTGCTAGAACACCTTCATTGGGACTTCAACCAGCGCACCCTTGAACATCTCTCAACTGATTAAACAGAATATGCGCGGCGCTAGGCTAGAGCCAGCGAGAGCCACATATTCAGCAGGACCTGCCCTCCAACTGCAATGTTCTTGCATGTTTAATAGAAGGCGAATGTGCGCGGCGCTACAGCGAGAACCATACTTTGAAAACGACCTGCACTACACCAGTAGAGCTGCTGCCAACTTTGAAGAACCTGTGTGCGCGGCGCCAAATCAAGAACACCACGTTAAACAAGATCCGCCCTCTATTTTCCCATCGCACGGACTTCCCTTCCCGTGCATGTTTCGGTTTCGTGTGTACATTTTGCCAGATGATCCAAGATGCTCCTCGATGGCCCTCGCCGAGAAGAAAACAACACACCCCCGATCGACGCCAAGCCATCAGTGAAACTGCTGCGAACTTTTGAAACGTATGTTCACGTCGCTGATACGAGAACCACATGTTGAAACAGACCCGCCCCGCATCCGTGAACCTACTGTTGCAACATGCCAACTTCAGGAGCATAGATGGTGTTGTAGTCTCAAACGAAACGCATGGCACGTCCTACCGACACGTCCGGGGGTGAGGCAAGGAGTTATTTGTGTTAGTCAGCGTAAACCCCAAACAATAAATGTTTGCAGCCTATGCGGTGAACTCTACGCGGTGCAATTCACTTTGACTGTCTTGAAGCTGTCCCGTCCACTGCTCGTGCAAACATCCCACCCTCCCACCCGCAACTTGGTCGCAAGACCTCTTCAGACCGTGACGGTAGGTACCAAATGGCACTTGGCAACGACACCGACGCCGACGACGTCAGCGACAACGACGACGACGACGACACCGACTCTGACTCCGACGACGACGACAACACCGACGCCGACGCCGCCGACGACGACGACACCGACGACGACTCCGACTCCGACGACGCCGACGCCGACGACGACGACGATGACGACGACGACGACGCCGACGACGACGACGCCGCCGACAACAACGACGACGCCGACGGTGACGCCGACGCCGACGACGCCGACGACGACGACGACGACGACGACGACACCGACGACGACTCCGACGACGACGCCGACGACGCCGCCGCCGCCGACGACGACGACGCCGACGATGACGCCGACGACGACGACGACGCCGACGACGACGACGCCGACGACGACGACGACGAAGACGACGACGAAGACGACGACGACGTCGCCAACGAAGACGACGACAACGAGGGAGGAGGGAGGATGACGACGGCGACAACGACGACAACGACGAGGAAGGAGGGAGGACAGCGACGACGCGAACAACGAAGAAGGAGGGAGGACGGCGACGCCGACGACAACGACGAGGGAGGAGGGAAGGCGACGACGACGACGAGACGCCGACGACGGATGACGACGACGACGAGGGAGGAGGAAGGACGACCACGGCGACAACGACGACGGAAACGACGACGACGCCAAAGAGGACGACGACGACGAGGAAAGACAGAGGACGACGACGGCGACGAAAACGACGACGAGGGAGGAGGGGGGACAGCGACGATGACGACGACGAGGACGCAAGAGCGCGCGCGCACGCTTTCGTTGAACGTTCGTGTTGCGAAACCGTGTGTTGCTGTATGTGCTTTGGACACTCGATTTTGAAATCCTTCCGAAACCGAAGGTTTTTGAAGGATGTCGGCATGCGCGCGCGACGACGCGCGCGTGTGCACTTCGTCCCATGTGTTGCAGAGGGTTTTCGCGACGGCACGCGCGCAACGGCGTTGGAACGACTGAACAGATTGAAAACAAAACCTGCTTTTCTGCAGAATTCGAAGAGCACGCGTAAGTTTTTTAGGAATTCCGTGTTGCGAAGCCATGTATTTTCGTATGTGTTTTGGACACTCGATTCCGAAATCCTTCCGAAATCGGGGGGTTTGTGAAGGATTTCGGCATGCGCGCGCGACGACGCGGACGACGCGCGCGCACTCCGTTTCATTTCTTGCAAAGGGCTTTCGCGACGGCACGCGCGCAAGGGCGTTCGAACGATTTCAACATGCGCGCGCGAAGCACGTTTGGTAGCACGTTCTGAACATATTGACAACAAAACCGGTGATTTTCCTAAGATTTCGCAATAAGCTGTTTAGAACATTCTGTTTGTAAATTTTGAAATCCTTCTGAAACCTGGGTTTTTGGAGGATCTCGGCATGCGCGCGCGACGGCGCGCGCGTGTGCACTTCGCCCCATTGTTTTGCAAGAGATTTTTGGGAACTTATGATATTTGATAAACGAGTGTGCGCGCATACTACTATATGTTGCAGAAGATGGCGGGGGGGGGCGATACCGGTTTGGCGGGGTTTGGCTGGGATAATACGAATTCGCAGTTCGGATGGACGCTGGGACAGAGTCATATGTAAATTGCACTGTGCAAACGGGAATGTTTAACCCCCGGGGGGGGGAGGGTGGTAGAAGTTATTGCGCGCGCAATCATCCCACACGCCCACCCGCAACTTGGCTTGCAAAACGCATGCGGCGGCGACTGCGATGAGTGCTTGGTGTCGGCTGGTGCATATCTGCGGCCGCGCTAGCCCGCGCATGCTCGCGCGCGCAGCGGCCAGCTACCCTGGCGCGGCCGACGCGGCCCCGGTGGCGCTGACCGCTGGGCACATCCCAGTGGGCACTCCACTGCGAGTCGACGACGTGGGCGGGGGCGGTATCATGACAACGTCAACCACGGTAGACACGATGATGATAGTAGCGGATCTTGTGACGATGATGACAGCGGCGACGGCACGGCCAGTGACGGCGCCGATGCTGATCACGCCGACGATGATGGCGTCCTCGCGTCGGTGATGAAGGTTGTCAAAGGATATCGACGTGTGCGCGAGGCCGACGCGCGAGACTGGCCCGCATGGTATTTGACGCGGATCGTGTCCCCCCAGCACGCGCACAAGGGCGTCCGAATGACTTCGACATGCGGCGCGAATGGCTTGTTTGGCAGACTTCAATGGACATGTTCAAGATCTATAGTTTTCTTGTCAATTCGGCAGAGCGCGACTGCCTTTTCGTATAACCAAGAATATATTATTTTTGTTTTGTATAATAAAGAACGGCGTTGTGAAACCAAGTCTTCTTGTTTGTTGGACACTCGGTTTTGCATCCCGTACGAAACCGAAGGTTATTAAAGGACTTCGGCATGCGCGCGCGACGACGCGCGCAGGTGCACTTCGCCCAAACTGTTGCAAATCATTCTCGCGACAGCACGCGCGAACACGCGTTCGAACAATTTCGACATGCGCGCGCGAAGCCCGTTTGGTAGCATGCTATCGAAATGTTGACAAACCTATGGTTTCTTAAGAGTTCGCAAGAACGCGCAAATTGTTTTTGAAAATCCGTGGTGCGTAACAATGTGTTTGCTTTACAATGCTTCGACACTCGATCATGCAATCCCTAGGAAACCATAAAGGTTTTCGCAGGATGTCGGCACGCGCGCGCGACAACGCGCGCGCGTGCACTTCGTCTCGTTTTTTTGTGTAAGGGATTTTTGAAAACGGATGATTTGGGATACACGTGTGCGCGCGCATGTATGTTCTTGCAGGGGATGGCGGGGGGGGGGCGGATACCGGCCCCCCTGGGATGATGCGAAGCAATATCTAGGATGAGCGATAGGGCGGAACCATGTGCAAATTGCGATGCGAAAAAGTGAATGGATAATCCCGCGGGGGGGGCTAGGATCTAGTTCTTTTTCATACAGGAGAGTCCATATGGTGCAAGTTAGGTGGTGCAATGCATGTGGTGCAATCGATGTCAGCAGTGCCAAGCAATGCAGAGAAATGCAAAACAATGCAAAGCCGTGCCATTCCATGTAACGCAACGCAGAGCGATATAACTATGCTATGCTATGCGGGGGGTCGTTTATCTTGGGCGACGGACGGCAACGGGCCGGCCAGACCAGCCTGCCGGACCGGCACTGGGGCCAAGTTATGCAAGAACCCCCAAGTGCAAACACTGTTCGGACAACAAAGGATCTAATGGAGGAGGAGGAGGTGGAGGAGGAGGAGGAGAAGGGAGGAACATGAGGATCTCCCGTCACTCCTCCTCCTCCCCCCCCTTCCGCCCCGCCCCGCTCTTTCTCCTCCCCCGATCTCTCCCTCGCCTCCGCCCTCCCACCTCCCCTCCCTGGAAGACGGCAAAACGGCGTGAACATAAACTGTTGCCGCTCCGCGCGGGTTTCTTGGACCCGCGCTGGGCCCCTTTCCCTGGCGCGCGAAGCGCGCCAGGGGCGGCGGCGGAGGCGCTGCCAGGGGCGCCTGGCGCGGATCCAAGAAATCCGCGCGGAGCGCCACAAGTTCCCGTCCTGCCCATCCACCCACGCGTTCGCCCCCCTCCCCGTCCTGCCCTCCTCACCCGGCCCCTTCCGCCCCGCCCCCCCCCCCCCCCTTTCTCTCTTCCTCCTCCCTCGACCTCTCCCTCGCCTCCGCCCTCCCCCTCTCCCCTCCCGCCCCCGCCCCTCTCCTCGCCCTGCCCCCCCCCCCACCCCCGTGCTCGTCCTCCCTCTCCGACGCCCCTCCTGCCGCGGTCGCCTCGAGAGCAGCTGCTCCCACAGCGGCACGGGCGGCGCCGCCGGGGCGGTGGCGCGCAGGTGCGGGCGGGTGGCCAGCGCCTTGACGACGAACGCGGAAGGGTTGTTGACGTCGCCCTTCGCAGCGATGTCCTCGGAGGAACGGCGGCGGCGGCTGCGGCGGGGGGCAGCAGCTGCAGCGGCGAACGGGGGGAGGGGAGGAAGCCGGGGAAACAGGGGAAGGGGGAGGGGGAGGAGGGGGAGGAGAGGGGGGAGGAGGGGGAGGAGGAGGAGAAGGAGGAGGAGGAGGAGGAGGAGGAGGAGGAGGAAGAGGCATGGCGAGGGGGTAAAGGTGGCAGGGATGAGGAGGTGAGGGGCAAGAAGGTGGAGGAGGTGAAGGGAGAGGAGGAGGAGGGAAGTGAGAGGAGAGAGGAAGGAGGAAAAAGGAAAATGATTAGTATTAGTATTAGTAGTAGTAGTAGTAGTAGTAGTAGTAGTAGTAGTAGTAGTAGTAGTAGTAGTAGTAGTAGTAGTAGTAGTAGTAGTAGTTGTAGTAGTAGTAGTTGTAGTAGTAGTAGTAGTAGTAGTAGTAGTAGTAGTAGTAGTAGTAGTAGTAGTAGTAGTAGTAGTAGTAGTAGTATAGTAGTAGTTTAGTAGTAGTGGTAGTCGTAGTAGTAGTAGTAGTAGTAGTAGTAGTAGTAGTAGTAGTAGTTCGCATTCGTAGAAGTAGTAGTAGTAGTAGTAGTAGTAGTAGTAAGTTTAAGCAGTAGTAGTAGTAGTAGTAATTGTAGTAGTAGGTAGTAGTAGTAGTAGTAGTAGTAGTAGTAGTAGTAGTTAGTAGTAGTAGTTGTAGTAGTCAGTAGTAGAAGTAGGTAGGTTAGTGATAGTAGTCGTGGTAGTAGTTAGTAGTAGTGTAGTAGTTAGTAGTAGTATTAGTAGTAGTAGTAGGTAGTAGTAGTTAGTAGTAGTAGTAGTAGTAGTAGGTAGTAGTTGTAGTAGTAGTTGTAGTTTGTAGTAGTAGTAGTATTAGTGTAGTAGTAGTAGTTAGTAGTAGTAGTAGTAGTAGTAGTAGTCAGTAGTTCAGTAGTAGTTGTTAGTAGTAGTCAATAGTGTAGTAGTAGTAAAGGTACTAGTACTTCCCAGTACTCTTTAGTTTACTAGTACTAAGTTACTGTAGTAGCAGTAGTAGTAGCAGTAGCAGTAGCAGTTGTAGTAGTAGTAGTAGTAGTAGTAGTAGTAGTAGTAGTAGTAGTAGTAGTAGTAGTAGTAGTCGGTAGTAGGTCGTAGGTCGTAGGTCGTAGGTCGTAGGTCGTAGGTCGTAGTAGTAGTAGTTGTAGTCGTAGCCGCAGTCGTAGTCGTAGTAGTAGTAGTAGTAGTAGTAGTAGTAGTAGTAGTAGTAGTAGTAGTAGTAGTAGTAGTAGTAGTAGTAGTAGTAGTAGTAGTAGTAGTAGAAATAATAATAGTAATTCGCCGGCCCAACGGGCCAGGGCGTGCTAAGATGTCCGGTACCTGGTTAACAGTATTTCTAGTTCGCGCGCGCGGGGCGGCCCCTGGGGGTCCCCGGACGAAAAGTACCCCGGCAAGGTCCTGGCAAGTCCCCGGCAAGTCCCCGGCAAGGTCCCGGCAAGGTCGGGTCAGAGATGCCGGAGTTCTGTTTCGGAGTCCAAGAGGGCTCCAGATCGGTCCAAGAGGGCCCCGAGAAGCTTTCTAGACGGTCCAAGAGAGGCCCGAGACGGCCAAAGATCGCCCGAAGACGCCCCAGATGGCCCCAAGACAGCCCAAGAGGCCTCCAAGACGCTCCAAGGGCCTTCCAAGAGGCCTCCGAAGAGGGCCCCAAGTTGCCAAAATCGTTGATTTTCATTTGTTTTTTCTATGTTTTTTTGCGTTCTGGCCTTTTCGCTTCCGGACGCTCCAAGAGGGCCCAAGAGGCCTTCAAGACTGCTCCAAGACGGCCCACGAGGCTCCCAAGACGGCCCCGGAGCGGCCCAAGAGCGCCCCCCAGACGGCCCAAGTGCCGCCCAAGGCGGACCAAGAGGCCCCAAGACGGGCCCAAGAAGGGCTCAAGAAGGGAACCGAGAACTGAGAAATCGAGCCCTCCGCCCCAGAAGGCGCCCAGGACCCCGAAAGAGACCCCAAGAGACTCTCCAAGACACCCCCAAGACGCCCCAATAAGCTCCCGTGAGGCCCCAAGAGGACCAACAACGTCAGGCCCCAGGCCCCAAAAGGACCAACAAATACCGCCAAGAGCCCGCCGAAAGCCCC